ATATATATATATATATTATTTTTGCAAAGAGAACATCACAAACACAAAGATATACGTGGTTTGAACTTCAAAGAAAGTCCTACATCCACGAGAAGCAAATAACTTTCCTTTAGTTTAAATTACAACATTACAAGAGAAAAAAATGTTAAACCATTAATGTTTAGTTGGGCGAATTCCTCCAAGTTATATTCGTCATATTCGTGAAGAAAAGGTTTTGTTACTTGTCCTTGTAACCGTTCTTCTGTGTCGAGCCTATCTTTTAAACACACACATCTCCATGTGTGCTGCTATAAGTTGTGTTCTCTATTCAGAAATGACTCCCGCCTTTATAAAATGCATTTTTTGATGCGATTATGGAAGCAGAAGGGATTAATGTATCCCTAGCCACGATTGCTAGTGGAAGCAAGAGGGATTAATATATCCCTAGCCACGACTGATAGAACATGATAGTTGTGGGCTTCTTTTCTAGTATTCAAATACGTTAAAAAACTCCCAAAAATCTCCCTCTGGAGGTAGTTCTTGACTTTCCAAATACATCCATACTTTAGTCGAGCCTGCACTAGAGATTTGCTTACCATTGTCTTCTTCCACTTTTACATTGAGATAACACTATCATGGATGAGCTTGACGTGCATATTTTGATTGAACCTGTAATGGACACATAACATCTCTGTATAAACAGTACATTTTATCTAGAGTTTTTAATCTTTTTAATAACATTTTCAATATTATGCTCGTAACCCATATTGTCAGAAAAATCTATACGTATTTCAGATAAATTATCAAGTTTTATTCTAGTATCCATAATAGCTACTAAATAAAACATAAATGCCATATTGTCAAATTTTTTTTTAAACTTATGCTCTATACCCCTTATGCTACCTGCAAGAAACTCACGAGTTCTATATTTTGTAGATTATTCAGGAGTATTATGAAGATAATTAAGCATTAAATGAATAGTAGAATAGTAAATTCTAGAAAGTTTTCTGGTTGCAGCCTCAAACTTCTTAAGGAATTGGCAGAAGACTTATTAAAAATTTCACACGTAAGTTATTATTAAAAGAGCAGATAGATATTCACATTAATAAATGCATTGACGGCTTTTTGGTAAGGTATGTCATCACTAAGCATTTTGTAAGTAGAATTCCATCTTATCATAATATTAATCTCAAGAATTTACCTCCTCAAGCCATTAACACGCAATGCTTTAAAAGCATGTCTTCTTGGACCACTATCTCTCATATAAGTTGTAAACGATTTTAGTTTTTATAGATGTTGATCAGGAAATTTCATTCCATCCTGCACACAAAGATAAATAATATGGCAAACACATCTAATTTTGAATAATCTACTTGTTATTATCAGATTCATAAAAATGTTTAATTTTAAAATTGCTGATGTGTTCTCAGAAGCATTGTCAAAAGATATAGAAAATTTTTCCTCTATCCTACAGTCATGACATGTTTGTGAAATTGTGCCCCACAACGCCTTGTGCGTTATGTGGATATTCAAATCACTTGAATGATAAAAAAATTTCAGCAAAATTTAATTTGCATCAATATATTGCAAAGTAACATAAATATAATGATTGAGATTAAGAGACTCCCAAACATCAAAAGTCAAATCTATCTTGGTGGCAACAATAGATAAAGTAGATTGCATGACAATTTTTCTCGCGCGGAAGAGACTTAATTTCTCTCGTGATTGTTCTTCTGCTAATTTGTTGATATTCTGGGCAAAAAATAGTTTTTATGTATTTTTCAAAAAATTTATTTTCAGTAGTATTAAAAGGTTGTTTAGCTTGCACAATAAACCTAGCTAAGTTTTCCTTAGCGAGTTCGGGTTTTTACCTGAATGTTGATAACCCCCTTGTACCTCCAATAATTTGTGATGGGGTTTTCTCTGTCCCCAAACCTACCAGGGGTTTGGATAGAAAGGAGGGGAGGGGGAGGGGAGTGATTGATTTAGATCTAAGGGGAGGGAGTGGAAAGGAAAATGGTAGAATGTATTTATTTGTGCTTGATAAACAACGAGGGGACGGGAAGGCAAACTATAATATGTGTTTGTTTCGAGTAAGAGATGGAAAGGGAGAGGGAGCTACTTGACCAGTATGCCATTTTAATAAAATAAGATAGAATACCTTTTGGTTTTCTCATATAGGGCAACAATGGAAATTTAAAAAAATTCCACTTGAAACTCCTCCCCTCCCCTCCAATCCGTCCACTTTTGGAGGGTTTAGAAAGTGGTTGAATTTTCTAATTTTCATCCCTTCCCTCCCCTCCCCTCTCATTGCTAACTAGAAAGTATAAATAAACAGAATGTTAGGTGGGTTAATATTGTAAACCTCCCCCTCCCCCTCCTGAAAAACTCTATCCAAACACAATTATTTGTATTTAATTCTCATATGCTGAGACAATGATCCGATTCCCCAATTTAAATTATATTTGCAGATGTTTTTGCATGCTAAATGTGTGAATCTGTTACTTCTGGCATCTACGAATTTTTCAAAATAAGGCTAAACCTATGAACTATCTTATGATTTTTTTTGTTTGTTGAGAGCACGTTCTTTGTTTCTATTTCAATTGTTTCTTCTTCTATCTCCGCCTCCAAAACTTCTCTCTTAGAAGCTTGTTGAGAAGTCAAACGTTGAGGTGGCCAAGATGGAGGACAAGAAGAGAGATAATGTCTAGCCATAATAGAACCGGATGGTAGTGTCCCTCACGATTGTTACCGTTCCATTGGAGAAAGTGAATAAGAATGTTTGGAAGAAGAGTCTAGAGGGGCGATAGTTGTGGTTACCAGATGATAAGTAAAAGGATCAACAATATAGCAGGCGGGCACAGGAGGATAATAAGAATCGTAGCTGTAGGATGTATTATGGTCTTGGCCACTATTACTACCACCATCTTCATAAGAATAAAACTAAGAATATGAGAAATGTGTATAACCATTTCCATTGACACCGGTTGGCGTACGGGAGAGTATCACGAGTAGGAATCAATTTGATTATGTTAGATTTTATTTTGTAGAAAAACTTTAGCAGAGAGTTTATGGGAGATTTTTGGTAATCGGAGTATGAGAAAATGAGTTAGAATTAGATTGAGAGAATAAGTTTTTAGATCGAGGGAGAAATAATTCCTATTTGTAGTAGAGAGGTTCACTGGCTTCGTAGAAAAAAACCTCCAAAGATCAAACCCAATTAAAAATTTTAAACCCAAACATTAATGAACATCTCTCACTTCTGCTTTAAAATAAAGAAAAAAATATAAAACCTGATTTCACAGAAAGTTAAAGAAAAAGAGAGAACGAACTGTCTGTGCTCTCTTTTTACCAAACAGATGCCTAATCTAGGCATCGACTTGCTAAAAAGAGAGTCCAATTCATTGAATTCAAACGACTTTCTCTTTGTAGCAAGAGAAAGCTATTAAATAGGTGAGCCTCAGTTGTTGAAACCTAGCCCAATCGACTGGCTTGCAGCTGTGCAGTTTTTCAGCAATTAGGATTCCCTAAGCTGGGGAATCCTTGAGGTCCGATTGGCGTGAACACTAGCTATTGGCAGCAGCTAACAACCTGGTATGGCATGCCAGCCTGTGGGTCTCGCTTGCAGCCTAGCCTACCCATGGGCTATGGGCTTGAATAATGTTTTTTTAATCTATGTAGTTTTTACATTTTGGCAATCGAACTAGGTTTGTTGGGCTTTAGGATATTTTAAAAAAATTGGGTTGAGAGTCATAAAGATTGGCTAAAAATATATAAATCAGAATAACTGGTTTAAAATTAAAAACAACAACTGGTTTTATGTTGTTTTGGAGTTCTGGTAGTGGCTCCAACCCGACTTTTTGCAAATCAACTTCATCGACCAATGAAGATTCAGTCAAGAATAGATGAATGCAATTATGTTTGGATGTAGGCTACGAGCTGGTCTGATAGTGTTGTAGATGAACTTTTTTGGTTGCAAGTCTGGCATTGATTTGTGTTGGAAGATTTTAATTGGGCGAGGAATATTTGATGCGGGTGTTTGGTTGAGATTTTTGGGTTTGATTAATGGATTATGACCCGGTTCCTCCTCTCACTCAATTGTTGTGTGGTGGCCAGTTTTGTGGAGGTGGAAGAAGAATTGTTAAGTGGATAATTATGAGAAATTGATTGACAATAGAGTTAGTGGATAGTGAGGGTCAATTCACATTATAGTGATGAGATTAATCGAGAGAGTAATGGGAATAAGTAATGGTTTGACTTATGAGTTGGAGTTTGTTTGATGATAGAATGTTTTTTTTAATTTTCATGGTATGTATGCATGGTGTGCGTATATGTATTTATGTATTTTATCATGAAGAGAAACACAATTACATGTATTCCCATGACACTGCAAAATGCAACTTTATAATCATACATACAAATTGAAAGGCATTTTGAGAAGAAATGTTTTAAAATGGAGCACATTCTTATAGTACTATTAGATTTAAGTAGTCCTTGGCAAAATAAAGACAATGGTATGTAAGTTTTGTTTTGATCAATGGATAAATTCCACTTTCTCATCATGTTTATCACTTTTAGCCTGGATCGTTATATGGAAAGTAGGTGATTTTTTTGGCTTAATTTGAGATAGCCAAATGTTCCAAGGGAAAGGGCATTTACCTGTTGTAATAAGCACTATTATAAATAGCGGTAAATAGCACCGCAATAGCGGCGCTAATAGTGTTAGCGGTCCTATCCCGCTACGCTATGTTGTCACCCAATAACGATGACATATTACGGAATATGCGTTTTTCGCTTGCAAAAGCGGCCAATAGCGCACCACAACAGTGAGTAGCGGGCGATTGCGGGTAAAATCTGCTTTTTTTATCGCTATTTAAAAACGGTTTGAGATTTATTTTTTAAAAGATAAACCTGACCCGCAACAACTACATCCCACAGCCTCTCTCGCTTTTCGACGTACTCCCGCCGTCTCCCATAGCCTCTGGCACCTCCCTCAGCACTTCCTCTCGCCTCCTCTCGCCGTGAGCTTCTCCTAGTGCAGTCCTATTACCGCTTAGCTCATCTTCTCGAAGATGACGACTTTTTGACTTCTCTAGTTGTCTTCGGTATTATGAGACGGTTACATGTCTATTTCATGTGTAGGATCTTTTTAAATCATCAAATGCACTTTTAGATTTTCTAAACTTTTTTATATTTTTTTAAATATTTATACATATCTAAATTAGGCTGTTATTTGACTTTGCACTTTTTACCGCTATTTTGCCACAATAGTCCCAAATAGCCTTAGCGATGTCTCACCGCCACACGACACTATCCGCTATCGATAACCTTGGTAACAAGCCTTATTGTTTAATTTGTTAATAAATTTACTTTTCTTTTTGCTGATTGAGAGCCTGAATCAATGTGTTAAAATTGCAAGGCTTGCTCAAGCAGTTATATTATATATGAACTTATTGCTTGCAAAATGAACATGAGATGCTGTCGGAAACTGTTGTACATCATTTTCCATTCTTGTCCATTGTCACCAACAAGAGTGCTCAAATTTCCATCTTCCATATGGAATAGCAAGTTGAGAGCGAAGACCTCTTCGCTTTTGATTCGTTATCGTATTCGATCATGTTATCGAGCACAAAGGTAGGGAATGGATCAATCACATAGTTTTTAGACAAGGGCAAACTCATTTAAACTCAGGCACGGAGCCCTGACGTGAACTTTGTTAGGTACTTATGCAACATGTTTGGATGCACGTTCATATGTAGTTATTTGAGATTTTTGAGAAGTACCCACACGTCATGGAGGTCGGGGAATGGTTAGTTTGTGGTTTGGCCTAGTGCATATGCTTTGTAAAAAATCTTGTACATCTACTTGTTAGAGGAAAATGTAATTTAATGCCAGTTAGTTAGGCTATATGGAATGAAATTGTAAGAACTCAACATTTGGTAGACATTTGTTTGAACTTGCATGGTCAAGCTTGATTTAAGGGCTCTTGATATTGGACGTAGTAGTGCTTCCACATACCTGGTGATTAATAATTTTTATTTTTAAAAATGGCTTACGAAATAAACTTTTTGGTCTTGATGCAAAACTCCGAGAAATATATGGACAAAAAGTTGTTGATAATTGCTACAATATAGACTCTAGGCAGTGTATAATATGAAAATTTAAATTGCTAGGTGATTTATCTATACCTATATATAAAATTTGTTTGAACTCAATTGTGGCCAAGTGGACTCCCTCCCGCTTCAAAGTCATGTTCAGCACTCCGTCAAAGTGTCCTATGTGTGCAGTAGTTTCTCCCCCCTGAATATTAGAACTTAATACTTCTGATTAATGTGCACAACAGTTATCATTTCGGCAAAGTGTCTTGCATTATTTTGCCTACTTACTGTCAGCTTGCACGATTAATCTATCTTCTTTATGATTTAAGATGTTTGGTTGTTTTTTTATTGTTGTATTTGCACTGTTTGCCTTCATATTTGTCTTGGATGATTTTAATAGTCATTCTTTCATTCACTCTTCCATTCATGCTAGGTTGCACTGGATCTGACTGAAGATGAAATATGTCAGCTTCAGAATATGGAAGACGACTAGTATGTATTCATTTACATGGACATTTCTAGTTGTAAACATTAGATTTGAAATCAAATCTTAACGTTTGAACTTGTATTTGATAAAATAAAACATTTTTCGTTATTTATTTCAATCGACAGTTTTCTGGTAGTTAACCCATTTACTTATTAGCATCTGATCACTACGTTAACAGATAGCTCTGGTTTTTATAATGTTATCTTAAAAGACATTTCCGTATGGTATGTTTCTTCTTTGCTGTCAATTTGGAAACTGCAAGTCATGTTTAATTGGATCAGTTGGTAGACTTACTATAGATTTATTTTAACCATCAAACAATGTTCTATCTAGTGTGAGTTTTGAAATCAAGACTTCATAGTAAAATGAGAATGTCAAAATGGATAGTTTCCATTTGCTGATAGATAGTTTCAGAATGATGGATTCTTGGGAAAGTAGAGGTACCTTCAATTCCGTGTAAGATGAGTGAGAATCATTTGAGATGGCTTGGAAGTTTAGGCTTGTGCATAAGAGAGCATTGAGGTTTCGAGGCAGTTATAATGATCACCAGGCTAGTGGAAAATTTAAGCTTGGGAAGGTAGAGATACCTTCAATTCCGTGTAAGATGAGTGAGAATCATTTGAGATGGCTTGGAAGTTTAGGCTTGTGCATAAGAGAGCATTGAGGTTTCGAGGCTGTTATAATGATCACCAGGCTAGTGGAAAATTGATATGAAATAATTAGTAAGGTTGACGTGAGTCACGTGATTTAATTACTACCTCCTGAATAGAAAATAGAAGCACAGGGAAAATTTACTAAGAGGATTAGAATCTTGTGGATTTTGTTTCAATTAGTTGAAATGAGCTCATTGACAAGCATACCATTAGTTGTGAGTTTGTTGGACTATGTAGTATCCAGTTAGTGACTGATGAGATGGCATGATCTCCATAGTGTTTTGTAAGGATCTCGAATGTGTGCCAAAAGATTGTGGGAGTGTCATATGCACGATGGACATCAAATTTATTGGAGCAACACCAATAAAAATGCCTATATCTCAAACTTTTGGGGGCAGTTACATGAATCCTTGTTTTTTTTCCTTTCTAAAGTCATAGCCATTAAGGGCCTTTTCCTCTGTTGATATTGTAATTCCGAAATGGAATACGCCCAAGTGGAAACATATTTTATGGTTATCAGGGATACATTGTTTACTGGAGGATGATACACCAGTCAAATTTAATCTGATGCCAAAATTTTGGGCCTCCCAGAAACTAGAGATTGAGATGCCAACATACATATAAAAGGATTAACATTCTAACTACAGTCCCATTATGTTAATATTTAATGAGATTAAGGTGTCAACTGTCAACTTGATGTCAATTCTTCTGAAGTAAACAAATACTAAGTATACCTACGTGCAGACATGACATGCTTTGTGAATGTTATGTCATGGGTTAATCTGATAACTTTTCCATGGAAGAGTTCTGGAAATTTCGGGACACTGGAAACAGACTGCTTCTGTACTAGAGCCGCAGAAGCTCATAGTAAATTAACAATGCCCCGAAAACTGAATTATCTTGTCTGAAAGAATTGCCTTGTTCATGCTTTTAATATTCTTCTCCCCCTTTTAATTATATATATTGTATCTGTTGTAGCATTGTACATTGCCCTATGGTTGGTTGTGGTGCTCGGCTGAATTGTTTGGAGGAGTTTGAGGATCACTACCATGCTCGACATACTGCCTCTTGTTCAGTTTGCTCAAGAGTTTATCCAACATCCCGATTGCTTAGCATACATGTTTCTGAAGCACATGACTCCTTTTTTCAAGCTAAACTTGCGCGTGGTTTTCCGATGGTAAGTTCCTCAAGTCCTTCCCAAATTTGTTGCTGAAGTTCTTACAGATATTATGTTCACAGTATTTGTCCCAATTAGTAGCCATGGTGATACCATCTGTTTTCTGAGTGGAGCATGTGAACGTGGAGTGTGTCTAACCCCCAAAATATCCAAATTAACATGCATTAAACAATCATATGCAGAAGTGATGGCTCGTATTTTCTCCGGCTTTCCTTTTTTTTGTGTGTGTTTGGGGGTCTAGAGTGCCTCAAACTCCATTGCTATGTGGACATCCCCATGTGTTTTTCACTGGAACTGCAAATCTAATTGTGTGGGCGCTGATATAGAAGTTTGTTTAGCATTTGCTCTCACAGCTAGGCTTTATTTCCTCTCTGGTTTTCTCTGGGTTCCCAGCAGTGAATTTCTACGGTTTTCTTTATAGGTTTTCTCAATAAATGTAATATGGTTACCTTATCTTTCATATTGAACGTCTATATTGCATATTGAACGTCTATATTGGTTATACTTCAAAGTTGAAATTTTTGTATTAGATCCCCCTGAATTCTTCTCGTTCATAGTGGATTTTCACAACCTTTCCGTACAGAACTAGCCCTATTAGAGGCAGTCAACCTTAACTTCCTTTTATTTCATTTTATTTCCTTTTGTTTCACATCTAACTATTCTTCTTTACAGGTGAGACACATTTTCTACACTACGTACTGGGAATCTTTTTTTGTTTTCCTTTCTTCCTTTCTCGCGTGCCTTTTGGTGATAACGAGTAAAAGAAGCAATGGAAGAATTTAGACAGTAGTTTGTCCAAGTAGTGTTATGAGAAGGGGGGGTGGGGTGGTGGTGTGGTGGGGGGGGGGGGGGGAGATTACATCCCATGTGTTTTTTCACTGAACTGAAGATCTAAATTGTGTGGGTGTGGGCGCTGATATAGAAGTTTGTTAGCGTTTGCTCTCACAGCTAGGCTTTATTTCCTCTCTGGTTTTCTCTGGGTTCCCAGCAGTGAATTTCTACGGTTTTTTTTTATAGGTTTTCTCAAGAAATGTAATATGGTTACCTTATCTTTCATATTGAACGTCTGTATGGGTTATATTTCAAACTTGAAATTTCTGTATTAGATCCTTCTGGATTCTTCTGGTTCATAGTGGATTTTCACAACCTTTCCATACAGATCCAGCCCTATTAGAGGCAATCTACCTTAAGTTCCTTTATTTTATTTTTCCCCCTTTTGTTTCACATCTAAGTATGCTTCTTTCCAGGTGAGTACCATTTTCTCGCCATGTATGTAGTTGTAGTGCACAAACGTACTGGGAATCCTTTTTTTTCCCCTTTCCTTTCTTCCTTTCTCGCATGCTTTGGTGATAATGACTAAAAGAAGCGATCGAAGAATTTAGACAGTATTTTGTCCAAGTAGTGTTACGGGAAGGAAAAGAAAATGATTACAGTAGTTTTTGTTTGGTTGATTTGAGAGAGTAATTCACAAATGTTGGACAGAGCTATATAATTTTATATTTCCGTAGTTTTGATCATGGTAATGGTTCTCCACTTTAAGATTTAGTAGAGATGGGTGCCTTCTATTTTATGACCTCTTCTTCTTCCTCCTTTTTCAGAAACAAATAACCAAGGTTGTAGCCTATACTTGGACCTGAGACCACAATCTAACCAAAATTGATTATCTTTTCCTGGTTGCAACGATAACTTGTTAGAAAGCAAGGTATAGGCATTGATGCTAATATCGAACCACCATGAAAAGTATCATTTAAAACTTTTTGTATGTTCCACTGGATTGTTATATTTAACTTGATAACATGTACAGTCATCATTCTGAAGATTCAATATTATTACATATGCAACAGTATGAGTGCCTAGTCGAAGGCTGTGACATGAAACTTAAGAGCTACAAAGGTCGACAACAGCACCTTGTCGACAAGCACAAGTTTCCAACGTCATTCGAGTTCTTCAAGAAAGCAAAGCCCTCTAAGCACCACCGACAGAAGACCCAGAGAAAGCAATCGGACCACTTGATCAATACAAAGGAATCAGGCATGGATGTCGATGAAAAGACTTCCAAGCATCAAAGCCAGAAGAAAGTGCAGGAATCGAAAGAAACTGCAATGGAGGTTGAAGGAGAGGTGGATAAGCTAGCCTCAGCGGTTTCAAAGCTGAAAACGTCAGATTCTACTCCTTCGAGTGTTAGCTTTGGGCATCGACATGCTCGTGGATTTACTTTTCTCCCTCGTGCAGTAAGGCAAAATGTGAAACAGGCTTCTCAGTTTGATGAGAAAAGGTAATTAGTGTAAGTGCAAATTTTGTTGTACGCTTGTTTATCTTGATTCATTATTTGAAGTCCCTTGTTGGTTCAAATGTGATCAATGTGAGTTTCTCTTGTTGAACTTTCTTAAATATCCGATTTGAGGCTTCTCTTCTTACTATTCGGCTCGTGTTACATGAACGAAATTAGTGAACTGGGCTTGTTTTACTTTATTTTATAGTTAAGTGGTAGGAATGTACCCTATAACCCTAGAATCATTGTGGAGCTTAATACCAGCCTTATTTCTTAGCACACTTTTAATCTTTTTACTAATTTTAAGAAATTGCCTTGGACCCTAGCGTGAGCAACCCGGCCAATTGCCAAAATCCTACTGCACAAATGTCCTGTTTGCAAATTATAAGACATGCAATCCACTATGGGTTGATCCGGACTATTTGGAGGTTTTAATATGACTTTTACGGTCTTGGGTTCAGTTGTGGGCTAGGTTATATAAAAAAATTTATGAAATTCATAATT